GGGGGGGGCATCTTGTGTTTTTGGAGTTATCGTCTGTACTTGAGTACCTTCGCCCGCCTACGCTCCGTCCTGACTGGCCAACAGGCGGTCAGTCAGTCAGTCAACACAAAGCCTCAGATAGATAAAGCCAGACTTGTTTTAAAACCGAGCAGCGGAGTAAGAGCTGCACGAAGCAGCAAAAAATCAACACTTAAAAAATGATCGGAAGTGTATTTTTATTTTTTAGTCAGGAAATGGTCGTTTGTTTCCATGGAGGGGCGGAGCTTAACTACTGTACTGGAACCAGCCTCTAGGGGGCGTTTGTTGTGGCTTCAACCTCCAGCTTCCCGTCTGTCACTAGTTGGTTTAAAACAGTGTTTAGATAAATAAACAAGTTCTTACATTTTTTTCAGCTCAGATAAAGAAATAAAATAAACGTGTTTAGGAGGTGGGGGCATTAGATCTGAGGGGGGGTGCACCTCTTTCATCCTGAAGAAAGCCATCCCTGTGAGCAGCGAGTCCGACCCGGCCTGATGCTGGCGCCCGATCCGCTTCAGCTCCAGCTGGTCTGCAACTTCCTGCAGCCCCCCCTGCACGCACACAGAACCAGTAAATAACTCGAGGACTCAACTCCAGAACCACGTGCGACCCGTAACTACACACCTTTAAGCTTTTACAGCTCTTCATCAGGTACTTGACGTCGTAGATGGCAGGAAAAAACAGGTTGAGGATCTGGAAGAAGTCGTGCTCCTCTTCAGGAAGTCGAGCGTCCGTCAGGAGCTTCACCAGGTAGCCGAAGTCGTAGCCACTGACGGATTAAAAACCATTCATCACCCGACACGGAGAACAACAAATTTAGAGAGAATTTGTTTCTGAGAGTTCTGAGCTCATCACACCTGCAGCCCAGACTTTTATAATCCTGAGGTTTATTAAAGATGATAAACTCTTTAATCCGTCACCTGAGACAGTGATAAGTGTCATTTTTCAACTCTGACCTGTGGAAGGAGAGCCACTTGACGTTTTCACACAGCACCAGGCCGGAGGTCATGAGGAGCTCGGCGAAGTAAAGCGTGTCGATTCCTTCCTCTTCGTGTTTCTTAAACTGCAGGCCGGAGTTCTGCAGCAGGTCTATGGAGTCCTGCGAGTACATGTCTTCTCTGAGGAGAAGAAATAAAAAACACCGACGTCAGGCTGCTGCTTCGTTACAGAAGAACCGACTGGAAGCTCGGAGCTCCACCTACGTGAGGTTGAACTTGAAGTTGAACTGCCACGTCGTCGTGCCCGGAGGATAATCTCCGTCCTCGTTCATGAAGGTGAGGCCCAGCTGGATGATCTTCAGCAGGTCCACGTTGCACCGCAGCAGCTGGTACTGGTAGTCCACCGTGCTGCGAAACTCGCCGATCGGCCGCACCACCACGCCGGGGAACTCTGTGTCCTTCATGAGAGGAAATCATGGTGTCATCAAACGGCTCAGGAAGAGATGAAGAACCACGAAGGAGAAATAATCTCTACAAATTATATGAGATTAGACTGTACAGTAGTCCCTCGCTACTTCGCAGTTCCTTTATCGCGGACTCGCTCTACCAGTTTTTCAAAATAAGATTGGACATGACATATAACTGGCTGATTGACGGATGAGCCGCACGATCGGCATGACATTTTTATTAAAAATAAATTATTTTAAAGGATTTAGCACCTGCCGCACCTCTGTGCAGCTCATACCGCAGGATAAGCTTCCTGCTGCAGCTGATCAGCTGTTCTCTGTGCAGAGTGGAGAAGTGGGCGTGGCCAAGAATGCTTGCAGGTGGCAAAGAGCAGAGGAGGCGAAATCATGACATTATGTCTCTTTTAGAGCGTTTAGAGTTTAGAAACATTGTTTAGAATATTGCAAGAGTGTGGGAAGGGTTTAAAATGCCTTAATTTAAATATATATATATATATAAATAAACTACTTACTACTTGTACTACTATTCCTACTTCGCGGTTTTTCACTTATCGCAGGTCTTCAGGGTACGGATGCCCCGCGATAAACGAGGGACTACTGTACACCAAAAGTTTCACACACAACGACATTTTATCTAAAAGTTTAGACTCACTGAACCGTTTATAAAAAACACTCCTAAAAGTGAAATATTAATTCCAACAGCTCGGCTTCACTTGTTTCTTCTGTTGCTTTTGCTTCGGAAGCTGCAAACGTTCTCTTTCATGTTTTTTTTAACCACACTGATGCTGCGGATGTGATCTGTGGGGTTCCCGTTACCATAGCAACAAAGTTGTAGCTCTGAATGATCTGCCGGATCTTCTTCATCTCCTCCTCCACGTTGCTCGCCCAGACTTCGCAGATGATCTGACTGGTGTCTTGAAGTGCTGCTGGCATGTTGGCGGCTCAGGCGGAGAGTTCAAACCCTGACAGTCCAGCAGGGGGGGGGGGGGAGCGCAGTGAGAGAAAAAATAATCTGGAAGACGGAAAAATGTGAGTGAATGCACAACACAAATCATCTGTAGCAGTGTGTTTAATTTTAAATAGAATGATTTAAACACATCGTTGATTCAAATGTTTATTATTTTACTATCCGATGTTTTGGACGTTCCTGTGCTTCAGCCTGTACTCCACATAAGTTAATATCGTTTTCTAAAAAGTTCAAACGCTACAAACAGGTCTCTCTTCTCACAATAAAAGTCTCAGATGTTCACACAGAAACAGTTTCTGTACATTTCCAGGCAACATGTCACCCTGAGTACAGAATGTGACACTTGTCAACAGTGTGAAGCATCTGGGATGAGGATCAGCACCTCCAGAGCCGAGGCCATGATCCTCAGTCAAGAGAGGGCGGACTGTTCTCTCCTGGTTGGGGTGAGGTTCTGCCTCAAGTGGAGGAGTTCAAGGATCTCAAGGTTTTGTTCATGAGCGAGAGACGAATGGAGCGTGAGATTGACGGACAGATCGGTGCAGCTTTCACAGTATTGTGGATGCTGTGTTGGTCTGTTGTGGTGGAGGGAGCTGAGCTGCGAGGAGAAGCTCTCAGTTTACCTGTCGGTCTATGTTCCTACCCTCACCTATAAACACAGTAGTGTCTGAAACAACCAGCTCGTAGATCCAGGAGGTCTAAATGAGTTTCCTCTGCAGGGTAGCTGGACTCCCTTAGAGTGAGAAGTTCAATCTATGAGAGAGGGAGTAGAAGCACTGCTCCTCCACATCCAGAGGAGACAGGTGATGTGGTTCAGACATCTGGTGAAGATGGACCCTGAGCACCTCCATAGGGAGGCTTTGCAGGCATGCCCAACTGGGAGGAGCCCCAGGACACACTGGAGAGACTACGTCTCAGCTGAACGCCTGGGAGTCCTCTCAGAAAAGAGGTGGCTGTGGAAAGAGATGTCTGGCCTCCCTGCTCAAGCTGCTGCCCTGAGACTCAACAGATGGAATGGTTTGCTCAACAAAACCTAAACTATCAGATCAAATCAACCATCAGCGCAGGTAAAAGTAGGCGTTTTGGGTCTTAAAAACATGTTGAGATATAAATATCTATGCAAATGTTAATTTTATATACAAAGTATGGAAATACAGATGGTATTCTGTAACAGCACGAGTTATAAAGTGTGTCGTGTGACAGTAGTGACATAATAATCATTAATAATAGTCATGATGAAGTTATTTAGATCCAGTGCCTAGACTTCAAAGGATGAAGATTAATCTTGGTGATGATTTTATCTCGTGTTGGTGTGTCCTGTTGTGAGGGGACAGGTTTTCTATCCCTCTGCAGAGCTCTGCTGTCTGATTATTCTCCACTTAATGCCATAAATCTGTTTTAGGTCTTTCTCTAAACCACTACTTTCAGATGCGGAGCTGGGAAACAAACCAACATGTGCGTAAACTACACCAAAACACGTTCTGTTATAGTAAAGACTGAGATGACTCTTAATTGATAGTTTCATTTTGAATCTTTGATGAAATTTCGAGCTGATTTTGCTGTTTCCAAACACCAAAAAACTAACTTGTTCGCTCTGTTGTTATAATTTAAACTTCGAAAGTATTAACTTAAATGTGTCGCTATTAAAACAGTTTTAGTGCAATCGTGACCAAAATAATATACGAATAATCTAGTTTACCAAAACGTACACGTGTCAAGATAAAATCATAATTTCTTTTAAAATATTGTCGTTACCATGACAACACGAAGAACAAATCTTTTTTAACCAATAATTATAAACAGCCTTCAACACGACAAGCAGCCAGGGACCTTTAGGAACAGATTACATATTTTTTTTAAAGAAAATTAAAGAAAGTTTAGTACTTGCACTGACTGAAACAACAACAATCGACACAGGAACTAGCAGAAAGCTAGTTAGCATCGAAGCTAACCCTCGCGCTGTCACGGCAGTTATTCAACGCCACGCGAGCAAAGACTTCTTTACAGCCGCTCGGATTGAAACATATTTCTCCCTTATTTCAGCTCCAGTTAGTGCAAAGACTCGAAAGTAACACCGGGTAAAGATTAAACTCCAGATTTACCTGTAAGTTTCCCTGCTGTACCCTGAGAGGCCGATGATAATAAAGCTTTTTTCGTAATTGACTTCCTGTTGTCCGCCTCCAGCAGCCACAGCGCCCCCTGCTGCACCGGAAGTAGTATTACAAGTGGAAACATGCCCCAAAACTTTGGGTCAGTGGTGAGACCAGAAATTAAAATTACTAAAATAAAAAATAAACTCACCAACAACTGATCCAGGACCAGTTAAAGGCTAAAAACACACAAATCTATAAAACAATATAAAATATATGAGGAATTACAAAGAATATTTAATAAAATAACAACAAAATACTCTTTTGTTCACTTATTTCAGAATATATCTGTTCAAATGCATTAAGATATTTGTTTATATATGTTTTCTTGTGAACCACCAGATGGACAACATCGAGACTTTCAAAGTAATGGTTGGATGTACATCTACATCTGAGGCCAACCTAATTCATGATGGCCACCACAACCAGCTGACCTTAGAAAACACAAAAATTGCTATAATTTCACAAATATTGTGCTAAAATTTGTTGTAGTAGCCGAGAATCATCCTAAATGTCTGAAGGACATGAAGCAGATTTATTAACCCCATCATGTCTCAACCCAAGATCATTTTAAATGTCAAGTTTATGAATAAAATGATTAAAAAGCCTCTACGCATCGTATTAATGCAACATCCTGGTGTTTACATTGAGGGGGCGGAGCATAAAACTTGTACTAATAATAATGGACAGTGTCTTAGCTTCCTCACGTGGAGAAAAACCGAAGCCAAAATCTGTTTTGGAAGCCGCTATGTTGTTATTTTTGTAACCAGAGTGTGTGCACTTGCGTCATCGGTCGTACCACCAAAAAGACAAGTCCCGCCTACACAGCCTCTCGACCCTCCAACAGGATGTCAATCACAGTGAAACGTGACACTTTTACCTCAAATATCTTAAGTGTCACTAAACTTATTAAAAATATATTTTTTGGATGTACAGCAGCAACATAACTGTGTAAATCCACAAAAATCAACACTCAGGAAAAACTACCATTTACTTACAGAGAAGGGCGGGGCTTAAAATGTCCTTTTTGGCTTCAACTTCCTGCTTCTGGTCTTGTCTTTAGTTATTGTATATATTAATATTCTGTAATGATTTGAATCATAAGACTTTCTATTTCATTTGATTATTTTCACCTTTATCTTTATTCCTCTAAAAGTTTTCCATTTTCTTTTAACATTTTTTTTGTGTGATTTATACAAAAGAGTAGATTTGATCATGTGGTCTCCACCCAGAAACCCTCTACTTACAACAAATGACAAATAAATGTAAAATGTAACATTACTGCATTTAATTATTCAATGTTGGATTATTTACAGTAATTATTCTAAAACAACAACAAAAAACACTTTTGTGTATTTTTCTTGATATTCTTATTGTAATTATTATCTGTAGAAGTGGTTTTATTCCACCGTGGACAAATAGGCAAAGTGAACCAGCTGTGAGAGCAGGAAAGAGCATTAGATGAATTTTTATTGAAACATTTAATTCTGGTGATTTATTCCTTGAAACAAAGTGTTCTTTCATAAACAAAGTGCTGTTTGAGGCAGATCTGAACACGTTAAAAGCAGAACAACGAGCTGCTTCTTGCCCTTTACTTTTCTTTTCTGCTGGTCTCAGAAGATGCAGATCCAGAACCAGTTCGTCTGGACTGAAACACATCCACCGACTGCCCTTCAAAATAAAAGATCAACACTGACAGAAACCTGCTTCTCCTTCCACACAGAAAGGATTATTTTACGTTTAAAAGTTACGAAACGACGCGTCAGTTCTGTGCTGGGAGAGTCCCGTCGTCACGGCGGCAGCGGGTGAGGTCTCCCACCTGGTCACTGCTCCGAGGTCCCTGCTCTCCTCTGGATGTGGGAGAGCTCCAGGACGGGCATGAGGAGCTGGAAGGCGTCCTGGATGTAAGACGCGCTGTTGGACGCCTGGAAGAGACGGAGATTTATTCACATGTCAACAGATCGCTGCGGTGGGAAACAGTTTGGAATGCAGCTCCAACAAGAACAGACCAGAGAACCACCTGCGCCGAAATGATCATGTGACCTGTGGCCACCCGTCTGTTAGCTAAATATCTCCTGAACCAGTGGGCGGGCTTTAATTAAACTCTCAGAAAGTAATCAGTCTGCAGATGGCCACCACAGATAATTAATCTTTGCACAAAAAACTCCGTTTTACAGACACGGGGCCGGGGAGGGGGTGGTAGCTGAGAGTCGTCTCCATCACTTACTCCGAGCACCAACAGATCATCTCATGAGGTCACGCACGAGTCGTTCGCACGAGTCGTTCGCACGAGTCGTTCTCTTCATGGTTCAACTTAAAACAGACGTAACTCAATCATTTCTCAAACGCTGCCAACAGAGCAGGAGAAATACGACAATTTCACCCAAGAACTCGTAGAAAAGTTAAAGACAAAATAAGAACAGATGGACAATAAAACCACAGACATTAATATTAGTACAATATTATAATTAGTTCATTAATATAATTAGTACAGTATAATTAGTTCATTAATATAACGTATTAAAATAAAAAATAAAAGTTGCTCAGTGGTTACAGATTAGCTCGAGTTAGTATTCTAACAATTTAAAGCTCTTAAGGATGAGCTTGAGAATATTCTTCTACATGTAAAAATTATATTAATAAATACTTTTTGTGTTTTTGAAACCTGAGCTGACCAAGTGGCGTTCCCCAAGGTTCCATCCTAGGGCCTTTCCTTTCAACATTACATGCTCCTAGCTTGGATCTTAGAGAAAAAACAGAATAAAGTTTGCAGACGACACACAGATCTACGTCACTCTCCGTCACGAGGACAAGGGCCAGTACAGACACCGGGTGAGTCCACCACTGGACGGGCCAGAACCTTCTTCAGCTCAACAAAGGGAAAAGTGAAGCAGCAGCTTTTGGAGTTAAAAAGGACAGAGGTTAGCACAGACCTTCAGCCTGTGAAGGTAAAAAGATCGTGGACTCTGACCCGAGTCTGAACCGCCACATTCAAACAGTTTCAAAGACGACCTTCTAGCACCTGAACAACTGACGACTCAGCAGGACTCGGAAAAACTCATCCAGGCTTTTAACTTCAGCCGAACGGACCTTGTAACAGAGCATTTACAGGTCTTCTTAAAAAACATGAGCCTGCTGCAGCTGGTCCAGAACGCTGCTACTCGAGTCCTCACAAAGACCAAGACCGTGGATCACATCAGTCCAGTTCTGAGGGTTCTGCTTCCGAGAACTGATTTTAAAATCTTGTTGCTGGTTTACAAAGAACTGATCTGGGTGTAAAGGACCACCTCTGATCTTCTGCTGCTCCACGAGCCACGGGGACCTCCGAGGTGGTCTGGTTTAAGTCTGCTCACCATCCTGAGTCAGAACCAAAAACCCCCCGAACACCAGAGCGCTCAGACTGCGAGATCCTTTAGAACGACGTCACAGACCAGGAAGTGTTCAACTGACCTGCTCAAGGGGCCGGACATCCAGCCGTTATTCTCATTAAGTTTATGATTTAAAATGTAGTTTGATTTAAAAATGAACCCACTGAGGGGCCGAACTGAGCACACCTGTGGGCCTGATTTGGCCCCCGGGCCACCAGTTGAACAGCCCAGTCACAGACCGTCCTGTTTGCTGCTTTTAATTAAAACCATTCCTTTATGCCAAACTTTGCATTTCTTTCCCTTTGATTTCCAGTTTCCAATCCGTTTGATTTTAATCTCCATTTTTTTCTTTGAGCGTCTGTAATTTCCTCCTCCTGTGTTTTAACTGTTTACGACTCTGAGCTGCCCTGTCAGCGACATGCGCCAAAAAACCACAGATTGCAGTTGTGAAGCAGTAAAACGAGCACTAACCTCCAGAAACACTCCGGTTATGAGCGGGTTCAGGACGTCGCCCTTCTCAGCGCTCTGAAAAACACAACGCTCGGCTCAGTCGAGCAGAGGAACATCAAGTCACGCACAAACCGTTCAAACAAAAGGGTTCAACCTCGTTAGACGACGGGGAGGAAATCTGTCAGTTCAATATAAAGAACTTTAAAAAATGTCTGTTTAATTTTTAAAACATCCAAGCAGCAGATTCAGGAGGGTTTTGTTACGTTTACTGATTAAAATAACATAAAAATGTTTTTTTTAAAAAACAAGTTCCTTAAAAAGTCAGTACAGTGTTTTTCGACCTATAAGTTACTTTTTTTGTTGTTGCATAATTTGCACGCCCTGCGACTTTTACACTGAAGCGACGTATTTATGGATTTTTCCACTTTATTAAACAAACTTGGACTGATGCAACTTACAGGGCGATGCGACGATTATCGCTGTTACAGCAACTACTGAATCAATATACTTCATGGTACTTTGAAATAAAATGATATTTGATTATTTTCTTAAAAGTAAAACTAGATCTGCTCTTTTTGGTTTGTTTAGACAGGACTGTTCCACACATTTGTTCCACAAACTGAAATACAACGTTCCATTAGTTTAGTTCTGTTTTTTTTCATCTCTGATCCTCTCAAATTATAAACTGTTATAAACCATTATAAATTATTTAAACTCGTCATGCCTCCATTAAACACCGCAGACCCAGTAAAACAATGTTCTGACAGTTTTTCCTTGTTAACAGTGCGGTCAGGGAGTGACAGACACAGGCTTGTGGTTACCATGGTGACCTTATTATTATTAACGAGCCACTAGCTGCTGCTTTAGCATTACTTTAGGTTCTTTTTCTCGTTTTCCTCCTCAAACACAGTTTTTACATGAAAATGGGTTTAGATTAATAAAAACAACAGAAAAGTCCTAAATTTCTTTAAACGTTCCGACAGGTCGATCTTGATCTACCGGTTGATCTCAGAGGTATTCTGGGTAGATCCCATGCCATTAAAAACTAGACATCAGCTGATCATCTTCTATGAAATGTGTCTCTTGATTGACAGACAGGGCAGCTAGTCTGAGTCTTGTAGGAGCAAAACTAATAAACTCCAAAGAGACGTTAGCGTGTTCAGCAGTTTGGACTAACTGTCATGCAGACGCTGCATGCTCGATGAGGGTTGCCAGATAAATGTAAAATGTTTTTTTATTTACCCCCTCCTTTTCTGTGCACATGTTCAACAAACACACACCTCATCTTAGAATATCTTTGTAGTTTAGCTCAAAATACTATCATTTTAAAGCCACAGTACTATAGTTCATCATTTCTTATCTGGCAACCCGGCTGTCATGGAAACTACAGCGTTTTCATGTAAACTCGCTCATTTTTTGTTTATTACCCCCAAAAAACACTAAAAACCACTAAAGTTTCCAGAGGTTGTTCTGTGTAAATGAGGCCTTACAGCAGGTGGATCACTTTGACTTGGTCATTTTAAAAAGAGCTCCATGATGAAAACATCTGGACACCCCTGCTGTAGAGCTTTACGGACGAACGTTGATGGAAGTTTTTTTGTTGTTGAGTAATATAGATTTATTTCTGGCTGTTGTTACGTTGAGTTTCTGGATTAAACACCAGCTCTGATCTCATGAAAGTTCCAGAAATGATCCATTGCGTCCCATCAGTCTCCAGTAAACCCACTTCTGGATCGTTTTGGACCCGTTCCGGCATCAGAACATCCAGACCCCAAGCCCAGCAGACTTACCCCCACCGTGGTCAAACAGGAAGTGAACTTCTTGGACAGCAGTGAGATTTCTTTACACAGGACGACAGTTAATCTGAAGACACAGAGGGTTTTACTGGAGAACGTCTCCACACGCCTGTAAAAACTGAAAAATGTGTTTTTTCCTCACTGGGACAAGACGCCGGCCTCGGTGCTGCCGGTGGAGGACAGGATCATCTCAGCCAGTTTGTGGAACAGCTCGATGGACCGGGCCGTCAGCTCAGCCAGACTCCTGATGGCCGCGCCGTGAACCTCCTGCCAAAATCACCACAAACGGTCCTTCAAGTGTGCGTTTCATCCTGTTGTCAACTCGAAACAGTAACAAGTGATTCTCTGTAAACTTAAACACACTTTAGACATTTGTGACATCTGAAGTTTAACATTTCCTTCACTGTATCCAGACAGCTTCCTGTTTGAAGAGGACTTAACGTCCATGGGACGATGTGACGCTACGATACTTTGAAAACGTCTTCAGTCAATCTCAATATTTGAAATAATTTCCTTCCAAGAAGTTGGACTTTCTTGTTCTCCTCTGAAGAGCTCCTGAGTGACGGTTCTCCAGGTTTTCTGAAGGACTCCGACCTTGGTCTGAGGACTCTGCCTCGAGTGGAGCTGTTCAGGTTTCTGGGCCTCTTGGTCCTGAGTGATGGTAGGACGGAGCGCGAGACGGATCCATGGATCAGAGCCTGGTCCTCAGTAATGAGGGTGTTGCTTCAGTCAGCCGTAGTGAAGAGTGAGTCCAAAGCTCTGTCTAAGCTCCAACCCTCACCTGTGCTCATGAGGTTTGGATCAGGACCCAAAGAACCAGATCCTGGATCCAAGCAGCTGAAATGAGCTTCTTTAATCAGGTGTGTGTGTGTGTGTGTGTGTGTGTGTGGGGGGGGGGGGGGGGGTCAGCCTGAGAGACGGGGTGAGAGCTGCTGCTCCTCTGCATAGAAAGGAGTCAGCTGAGGAGGTTCATCTAATCAGGAGGCCCCCCTGTTATAGTCACCCCCACCAGGAGGAGACCCCGGGGCAGACTCACGACTCTCTGGAGGGATTCAACTGTAAAACCTCTGGTCTGGGTTTCCCTCCTGGACCTTCAGTGACCCGACCACAGATGGTAGAAGATGGAGAACTGTGACGTACGATCCTTCAGGCAGGAACGTCTCCTGAACTGAAGGAACAATCCTGAGCTGCGTCCACACACAGCAGACAACTTAAAGGATGGATTTAAAAAGAACCTTGTTGTTCACAGCAGCCCGAGACACAAACTGTTCTGTTTTACTTTAATCCATAAAAAAAGACAAAAACCAGGACTTTGGTTCCAACAGGGCGAGTCCCAAAGATCTGTCAGCTGTGAATTCAATGATCAGCCGAAGACTCGTGGTCTTTGCTGAATTTATTTATTCTTTTTTTAAAGAAGTCTTTCAGATCTGGTTTATCTGCTGCAAAAAGCTTTTTTTTAAAAAAAAAGCCTGACACTAATTTGTTGTTTCCTCAGATTTTAGCCGTTTGTCTCCAAGACTCCACAGAACAAGTGGAAAAAAAAATCTCTGACAGATTTTCAGAAAGTCCCGAGAAGAGTTGATGAAAACACTTTGAATTATTCCAGGAACGTCTGGCTGCTTGGACAGGAACTAAAAGTGGTTTAAGACTTTTGCACAGTATCCAACATGTAACAAAGTCCCAGTTCACACGAACCTCATTATAATGGGAGTGATTCGATCCGAACTGGACCGGTGTCGTCCTTAGTGACATTAAAGGCGACTCACCTCCACAGAGTGTGTTCTCTTCAGCTCTTCATCGCCGTCTTCATCACTCTGAGGTTTGTTCATGTCCTTGATGGAGACGCAAGTCTTCTTGCAGGCCTGATGGAGGACAGAAAGACTTGGTGAACACAAAGAGAGCAGAGGTCTCAGAAAACTCACGTCCACGTCCCTCATGTTTTCAGCTCTCGTTTGAATTTAGTTTGGAAGGAAGGAAGTTTAGAAGGAAGGAAGGAAGGAAGGAAGGAAGTTTAGAAGGAAGGAAAGAAGTTCAGAAGGAAGTTCAGAAGGAAGTTTGGAAGGAAGTTTAGAAGGAAGGAAAGAA